GTTTGGTCTTTGTGATCGGGTTCATCATACATCTGGAGCAGTTCCTCTCTTTTGGCGGGAAATAACGAGGGAGTCTCTTTTTGAACATCAACAGTTTTTTTGGTCTTAACATTAGGTGAATCAACGATACCTCTACCGGTTCTAACAAACTAATATCAGGCAATTGTCCATATTGAGGGGACAACAAATTAGTCTTTGAATTGACATGATTTATGAAGGGGCTGGTCCAAACCGTTCACGATTGTTGGGCTTCCTCAGGGGTGTACTCCTCATGGCGCAGATGGTCCCACAGCAGGGGTGTCTGGTGTAATCGCCCTTCGGTGGTGGACTGTTCAACGAGGAATCTGGCTGGACCACCTTCTTTTAATGACCTTGACCTCGTGGATACACCACTACTGCCCATTCTAGGGAATCTACTCGTCCCATTTCTTTTGGAGGTGACCAGATCTGGCAACAACCCTCCGGTCTTCAGATTGGGAAAATTTTCTAACAATCCTCTCATTCTATTATATTCGACTTCTTTCTCCCTCTCCTCTCTCATTTTTCCTCTCTCTTCTCTGATGTTCCTGGTATTCTAAATTGTTTCCTCCCACTCTGATATTTTATATCTTCCTCCCATACAGGTAAAATTAACTACTAATACTCTCGCTTTCTCCTCTACCAAGCAAACCTCAATCTTCTCTCATTGCTTCAGTTCCCTCCTGGTCTCTTCCTGTTCCTTCAACCCTTTGTTTTCTAACATCCCTTTCACTCTCACAACTTCATCACATGCGGGTGTCTTTTGTTGAGGGGACGGCTCACTCTCCACTTCTCTTTTTTCTCTATCTCTCCTTGACAGTGTTATTTCCAGGGAAACAGGGTATATTGAAATAATGGGAAAGATAGAGTCAACTAAAAATCCTTGCCTTCATGATCCTAATCATGTGAAGAGTCCCATAAAGAAGCTAGAACAGACCAGAGTTCCTTATTCTACCACCATTGGATGCTGACTCCAAAATATGCATGTTGATCAGGCTGCCTTTGAAGGAACCTCTTTATGATTCTTTTCGGTTGCCCATAAAGGCTGCATACAGTTGGGGTGCCTGTGCAGACTGACATGCTAGTCGCATAGAGCCCTTGCACGCAAGCATCTGCTCTTGTGTACAGATTTCTCAAGAGTTTTCAGTATGTGGATGTTGGAGGAAAGGGGCAGAAGCAATAAGGATGAGGCAGAAAGTATAGGTCTTCTCCATCTTCACCTTGAGATTGCTTTGTTGAAATAACTTATTGATTGTGCTCTCCTTGTGCTGTACCTCATGTGGTTTTTTATATAATGGAATAATTATTGTAGGCTAACATGATGTACCCTTTTCAGTGAATCCCCCTGAATGCAAAACTGACTTCTGGAAAAAGTAAGCACAGAGTTGTAGTTCTGCTCTTGATTTTCACATGATTTCATGTATTGTTAGATGTCTATTTAGGGAATAGGAAACAGAACCATTTGGGTTTTATTGTAACTTCATATTTCAAGTGGAAGCATTTACTTTGGTAAGTGTTTTCTCAAGCTAAAAAGCAGTACAGTGAGGTCTCTACTTAAGAACGTCTCTACTTAAGAACAATCCAACTTAAGAACAGCTCCATTTGCTAAATTTTGCTTCTACTTGAGAACAGAAATCCAAGATAAGAACAGGAAAAAAAACCTTTCCTGCTCTTTTTTTAACCTTCGGTCATCTTAGGTTAAAAAAAATTCTCCCCCTAGTGGTAGAGTACGTATTAACCAGCTTTGCATTAGTTCCTATGGGAACTAATGCTTCAATGTACAAACGCACCTCTACATAACAAAAAACAGCCAGAACAGATTAATTGGTTTTCAGTCCATTCCTATGGGAAATCTTGCTTCAACTTAAGAACGTTTCAACTTAAGAACACCATTCCAAAACGGATTAAGTTCTTAAGTAGAGGTTCCACTGTAGTTTCTATGGACGGAAAAGAGCAGATACGGATTAAATGGTTTTCAATGCATTCCTATGGGAAATGCAGATTCAACATAAGAACTTTTCAACTTGAGAACCACCTTCCAATACGGATTAAGTTCTTAAGTAGAGGTTCCACTGTAGTTTCTATGGACGGAAAAGAGCAGATACGGATTAAATGGTTTTCAATGCATTCCTATGGGAAATGCAGATTCAACATAAGAACTTTTCAACTTGAGAACCACCTTCCAATACGGATTAAGTTCTTAAGTAGAGACCCCACTGTACATCTACACTGTGCCAGCTTCTTCGTGATTTGGAATGCTGCTTTTCTGCAGCTGTACTATCGTCTCAATCCACCTCTCTCCCCTGCAAATATGAGAAAGGAATGTGATCACAGTTCAGTGCATGAACAAGTGCTAAGCACTTCTGATGTAGCTGGGATCACAGTTTAGTGCATACACAAGTGCTAAGCACTTCTGATGTAGCTGGAACAAAAGTCTCCTTGTTAGAAGCCAAGTCAGAACCCTGTCAGAAGATGTCTCACTCAGCCCTATGTATGGCAAATGCAGTCTTTTGGTACAACTAGCAACATAATTTTTTTTAATCCATACTAAATTTAATTAGAAAAGGAGGAGGTGCTTCAGAAAATCCTTTTTTAAAAAAAAAACTGTCTTTTTTTTTTTTAGATGGAGTTCTGGAAAGAGTATATACATGGACTGCATGGAGAAAGTAACACGGGACACAACTGGTATCCATTTTACCTTGTCTTCCCATTAATTATTGGCCTTTTCATTATTCTCCTTATTGTGTTTGTCACCTGGAGATGCCTGTCCAAAAAGAAAATGCGTAGACAGTCCATGTATGCACACAGCAGAGCCAGAGAAGCCACAGGCAACAGAACTGTTGCTGAGGGTAGAAGCCCTCTTCCTCTGCCACTCAGCATTCTTCATTCCCCCCAGGAAGAAATGTTTGAAGGCAGTGGACAATCTCCAGGATACCTGAGTTACACGGATGGGTGTGGTGACTCAGTATCAGTCAGGTTGTCAAGCTGTGACCCACCACCATCGTATGAGGAAGTTGCCGCTGAAAACGGCATGAGAAGACATGATGCTGCCAATCACTTGGATCCACCTCCTCAATATGAAGACATTGTGAATAGCGTTTCCATTAAATGAAGCCAAAAGGGATTCTTGATTTTTAGCACTTTATTGCAGCTTCATGTTTATAAAATTTAAACAATATTAACCACTTTCTCTTTCTTAAATTTTGGTTTGCTCTGTGAAACTTTTCTCCCACCCTGGGGAAAGAAACTTATTTTTTGGTATGGTTGACCAAACTGCCAGAGAAGCTGCTTCTGTTGGCTAGTGTTTCCTTTCTGTGTTGCTGAAAACTGGTCTTGTAAGAAGCATGAAGGGCTTGCTAATGGCAAAGTTACAAAAGGGAATCATACCAAAAAGACTAATATATTTTCTTGCCAGACACCTAGATCTTTCTTTTGTTCCTTGTTTTATAAGTAACAGAAACAAGCAAATCAACTGGCAGAAGTGGTGGCACTAATCTGTTTGCCTTTTGCAAACTTTTTGACGTACAGTGTGCTCAACTACTAGGCAAAAAATTGTATTATTGGGTGACTAACTATATTCAAGCAAACAGTAATAATCTCTAAATAGATTTTCTAATACTGAGACAGAGTTGCAATTAATTTGGTTCTTTCATGCAGCTAGAATTCTACCATCTACTAAAAAAGTTACAGGACACAAAAAACTTACAAAGCAGTTATGGAGAAGAGAAGGTGGGCACATATGATTAAGAAACAACGAGTGGCATAGCACTGAGTTCCTCTGGGTTGTTTTTGCAAAATTTGTGAATATGCAATAATTAAGTTGTTTTCCTGAGTAAGTGTTTCCCTTGCATTAACAAGAGACTGGTCTACTTTACAGTTCATGTTTACTTCTGATCTCCTGATCAGCTGAAGTGTACCTAATTAGTATTTGGTTGCACCTCACTGACTTGCCCTCAGTTCATTTGTTCTTGGTTTGTTTTGTTTTTTTTCTTTACAGGTTATGAAACGGCCTAATGTTCTGGGCTGTCATATCTAATGCTGACTCAGGTGTGCTTTTTCATTTCAACAAAGAGCTTGTGTTCAGGCTGACTGTCTTCTGTGTTTTTGCATGTTGGCTTTTAAAAGCAGGTAAACGGCTTACGCTAACGACATAAAATCTGTGCCTGCTTAACACCTAGCTCAAGATTGTGGAATGGTATCACAGTGTGAGTCATGTCTTGAGAGGGTGACAAGTTTTAAAATTTATTTCTCACAGCACTCTGGCAATTCTCAAAGGGAGACTAGCTTGTCCTGGTATATATTTGAGGAGTGACTGGTTTGTGCTTTAGTTGAATTAAATAAAACTGTGTAGGTTTGTATTTAATATATCATGTGAATGGGACAAAGCTTAAATATTCTCTGGTTATTTGGAAAGTCACAAAATGTTGGTAACTGTGTTTTAATAGGAAGTACTTAAATCACAATATTTGTATCTAGTCCTCTGATTTTTTTGTGGCAGTATAAAAATGTGTATTCTTTCAGTGGACCTCCTTCCTACATTTTTATACATTTTACTTCTCAGACGGTGAAGGAAGTTGTGGTAGTAGGGGAATAAGTCTGTTTTTTGTGGAGCTTGAGGGTCACCGCTAACATTCATTAAGCTCTGGGGACACCTGCATGGTTTTTTCTCTTAAATATCACTTTCAGAGATATTTTAATAATGGGATTTTATTTTTCTATGGCATCCTTTCAGTTTATGATATGTTCAGGGTTCTTTTGAGTTCAGAAGAATGTTGATTGTGCTGAGTGTAGAACTAGATATTGGTAGTTATTCCAAATATATTAAGTGGAATACAAATACTATGTTAGTTTGTTGATATTTACACACTCCCTCCTACCCCTTATTTTCCTTCTATTTTCTTTATTTCTCTTGTCTTTCTCTCTCCCCTACACATTTTCCCAGTTGTTAAACCTTAAGATTCTTTTCAGTACTAGTAATTATAAATACATCACCAAGAAGCAGCTATTTAAGTTGGTTCTGGTTTTATGCGGTTCTGGTCCAGGGTGAAGAAGGTCCCAGGAAAATCATTTCTTGGGACAGAAGGCAAATTTTTAGCAACAATAGTTGCCACAAGTAGTGAATAAATTGACTCGGTTTTCACATAACTGGTCAGCCTGACCTCTCCCTTTGTGAAGTACATGCTTACTAACATAATCACAGTTATAAATCAACACACACACTGCATTCAAAAAATTGGCTATAAAATAATTGTAAGCATTTAAATATGTGTAGAAAAAAACTCACATTTGTTATCCTTAATTCATTTTGGGAGAGAGAATAATTGCTTTTATTATCAAAACAAACCACTTAACGTTGCTTATGTTGACTGTAAAATAGTACACTCTGATGAAAAATCTGCTAAAGCATCTAGTGCCAAAGGCCTTGTTTTAATTTCTTGCCTGCAAGTGTTCACAACACATTGTTAGTGGTTAGGCCACACTTCTCCTAAGCAGCTGCATAGATGGGAAATTCTAATAAAGTATTAACTCTCCAGGTGCTGATATTTTTACATTATTACAAAACACAAAAATGACTTAGGGCAGGGCAGATGGAAGATCTAAAATTGTGGCTGGTTCTACTGTTGGACTTTATATTGTTGCCCATTGAAGAAAAGCTGCTCTGTTTTCATAGAATAGTTCTTGTTTGTTCCCATCTTACATACATGTTAGCTGTGTTGCGGTAATTTCAGTTCTATGAACTATTAAAAGAAAGACTTCCTGTTAGCATCTGTGTGTATGCGCTTAGAAGTTCCAAGTTGATCAAGCTTACTCATTTAACTTAATGATTTATACAGAGCTCTTATTTTTTCATAATATCCTTAACTATTTTTAAAATAAAATGTTGCCTTGCAATAGATACAGTGAAATATACAACCTCACTTTTCAGTGTTTCAGAAGCTTTGAACATACTGACTGTTATAAAAGCAAAATATTATATTCTCTATATAGAGTGTATAACGTCATTATCTTGCAAAGCGCTAAATATTTTTAAGTTACTAAAGACCAATAAGAATGTAGAAGCCTTGGTTTTGTTTATAAAGGCTTAACTCCTGTGATGATTTAAATATGCAGACTATGGAAATAACTTCAGTTTGACTGCAGTATTAAACAGTTTACTGTATGTTTACATTTAAATTATGCAATTTTAAAACAATTTTGAGGCTCCTGATATGCATAAATAAAGCTGTTTTTAAAAATCTGGTGCTACGGGACTTTGCTTGGTACAGGCTTGGGGGTTTCTTTCACAGCCTTAATAAGCTTAATTTGTTTGGAATAAGATGTGAAAGTTTGGTATGTGACTAAGAAAACCCAAAAATGTTATAAACATTTCTTCAGACTAGAGTGTTAAATTATGTTGCTGAAACTGATTTTCACAATAATACTAAACGCTTCACTAAACTACACAGGGATCTTTCTCAAAGTTGGAAATACCACAAAATTCTTATTTACACTGCAGAGTAACCAGATAACATTACTAGGCCTGTGCCATTCCTTGTTTGTTTGGGCTCTAGAGCCCAGAATTCTCCATTCTCCAGACCTGCACCTAATTTGTGCTGGAGTGTGCGACAGGTGGCGAGGCAGGAACCCCTCATGCTGGAGCGCAGTCCATCCTTGACCCAAGAGATAGAACAGAAGAAAGGGACACTTCCCAGATAGACCAAGCGGGGGAGCAGGGTAAGAGAAAGAAGAAGAACCTTTACTGTCATGTATGACGGGGATGGGAATTTATTTATTTATTTATTTAACTGTATACCGCCCACTCTACCCAAAGGTCTCTGGGCGGCTTACAACAATAAAGGGGAGAGAGGAAGAAAAGGTGGCAAAAGGGAAGGAGGATAGTAGAATCAGAGAGGCAGGGCCAGGGGAGATTATAAGAAGGGATGAGCCCTTACCCCCGGATGGGAATAGGTCTGGATGAAGGAACCTTGGACCAATAGATGGGAAAGAATCAAGGTTCCCAGGGCAGAGAAGATTACAGAAGAAGATCTGCCCTTCCTATTCGCCCTTCCTACTGGGGAGAAGTGGAGGCTAAGGAGTGGAAAACGATGTTTCCTATGGGGGAATTTCGAGTGGAGGAGAAATGGTTGTTGTGGGTTTTTCGGGCTCTTTGGCCGTGTTCTGAAGGTTGTTCTTCCTAACGTTTCGCCAGTCTCTGCAGCCGACATCTTCAGAGGACAGCACTCTGTGCTCTGGTGAGGAGAAAGTTAGGAGAGGGAGAAAGTAGAGGAAGAACGCATGGAGAGTTCTGGAGACAAAGATAGAGGAGAAGAGAAGGGATGGTCGGTATTGGATAGCCGGGAAGTGCCCAGTAGGATGATGTTCTACGAGGAGGGACCATTCTCTCATTACCGGACCCAGCAACCACTGCCTTAAGAAATGGTCCCCTACGGACCTGCCGGGACCTTGGAATGCCAGTTATAATAATCCTTTTGTTACTGAAGATTGGAAACCCCTGATTGCCCCATTGGCAGAAGGAGAAAGAGACATGGATTTAGTTAAAGACACTAATTTGTTTACCAATACAGTGGTGCCTCGCAAGACGAGCGCTCCATTTTACGACGAAATCGCATTATGACAAAAGTTTTTGCGATCGCAAAAGCGATCGCAAAACGATCTTTCCTATGGGGGAATTTCGCTTTGCGATGATCGGCTCCCTGCTTCGATAACCGATTCTCGCAAAATGACGATTTTTGGCCAGCTGATTGGTGGTTTCAGAATGGCCGCCGGGTTAAAAAAAAGGCTCCCTGCTCTTTTCTGGGACGGATTCCTCGCTGCACAGGCAGCAAAAATGGCCACGCTATGGAGGATCTTCGCTGGACGGTGAGTTTCAAGCCCATAGGAACGCATTAATCGGGTTTTAATGCGTTTCTATGGGCTTTTTAATTTCGCTTTACGATGTTTTTGTTCTACAGCGATTTCACTGGAATGAATTAACATCATAATGCAAGGCACCACTGTACAATAAATATTCCCTTGTGGCATGGGCAACCCGCACCTTCTGTATTTCTTGCGTCCCAACCAGGATTGCACCCGACACACGCCGAACCCTCACATGGAAAAAGGCTAGACTGGAACGCTGCATGGCCCTGGATAGGCCAAGCTCCAGCCTAGTTGCATGTTAGAAAAGGAAGCTGCTTCCCAGTGCTTGCTGGGAATTCCTAAACACTACTTTGCAGAATGTTCATCCATATTTTCTGAATTAACTTCTGCACCCTATGAGTATTAGACTTTTATTTAGTACCAATTGTATGATGGAGTGAAGTTGAATTTACAGGGGATCCCCAACTTAGTAGCTTCCTTTATAAGCACCATTCCCTGCTTTTAAAATAATTCCAGCAAAACTTAATTCTTAAGAACAAAGTGACCTGTGCTATAAAGAGAGGGGTGTGGGGAAATGGAAGAGCAGAGATTAGAGGCGAACACCCAGCAATCATGCTAGAGAGGGGATTTTGAATGAAGAAGAGAGGAAATAATAATAATAATTTATTGTCATTGAGAGAGGGGACTTTGAATGAAGAAGAGAGGAAATAGCAGCAATAAAAGCAAGTGTCCAGTAATCAAGCAAGAGAGAGGAGCTGTAAATATGAAGCAATAAAAGCAAGTGTCCAGTAAGCAAGCAAGAGAGAGGAGCTGTAAATATGAAAAGAGATTTCATTGATAAGGCATGAAAATTTTCCAGGAATCAATTCCCTATTTTAACTGTGAGCCTAACCAGAAAATAGGGGTCAATTTACAACAGCTTGTTTTGCAACCCCTGTCAGGGAACCATTTGGCTTGTAAGTGCAGGGGTCTACATTAAATGAAGCAGATTAATTAGTTTAATTGCTGAGATCCCAGTGTAACCCTAATCCTAGGGCATAAAAACTCCTCTGCTGGTAGTGTGGTACATTTGTCTATTTGTGGGAGTGACACAAGCCCTGTGGAGGATGACCAGAGTGTATCCAGCGCGCCAGATAGCCCTGCCCCATGTGGCAGAGGAGACTTTCCCATGTGCAGCTCTCCCATAGACTGGGGGAAAGTGGTGGAGAAACACATGGCGATGGCTATGGGGAAGAAGTAAGGGAGCACCTAGTGGACAAGGCTAGGAAGAGGAGGGGGCCAGAAGAAGACCTAGACCACTGGAAGGAGGTTCATGAGAGTGTGGAGTGGGAGGTTTGCAAGGCAGAGTCGACAGTTGAGGCAGAGGTCTTAGGAACAGACAACGACCCTCACGCTAGCTGGCAGTGGGTTGAGTGCAGAGACCCTTGAACTGATGAGTGGGTCATCTCTACATACCACCTGAGGAGGTGGAGTGGGTCCAGTCAGCCAAGAAGACATGGAAGACATCCTATTGGCAGGGATGTTGGTAAGTCGTTGGTCCCAGGTCCCAGTCCTTGAGTCCGAGTCCCAAGTCTTGGATGGAGGCCAGGAGGGGACATGTGCATGCACAGAAGCAGCAGTTCTGGCTTCCATTCCTGGAGCAGGCCCTTGCTTCTGAGCATGCTCTGAAGCAGTGGGCCTGGCCTCTGCCCCCCCTTTTCTACCTGCCACTGCCACGTCTCCTGGCCCCTCACTGCCACCCCCCAGTGCCTACCTGCCACTGCACACCACTTTCCTCAGAAGCAAGCAGTAAGCTCAGCTTCCCTTCCAGGAGCAAGGCCTGCAGCTTTGGGGCATGCTCAGAAGTTTGGGCATGTGCTGATGCAGGAGCCAATTGGACCACCACTTCTGAACCTGTTGGAAAAGGAAGGTTTTCGCCCACTCCCTTGATCTGCAGAACAAATGGTGAGTCTGTGACCCAGGGTAGCTTAAGTACCCCATACTGTTGTTTGTTTGTTTGTTGTTGCTTTTTACTTTATGATAGTTTTTGGCCCTTGTTATCCAAATAGATAATCCCTTAATTTTGTTCACCTGCAATATCGTGCCTGCCTCTTGAAGGGGCCACTGGGAGCATTTACACTATCCAACACTGATTTTCAGCATATTGCTCAGTAGAAAAATATCACATATTATACTGTTTGTGTTTTGGAATGACATGTGTTTAACAGTACTCAAACAGCTAGTTCCAGAAGACAAACTTGCAACTCTCTCATTTTGTATGTGCGCTTTTCACTTCTTGAACTGTGAAACACCTCTATTCTAGTTTTTTCACTGTCCCGACAGTGAAAAGTCATTGGTTGTGCCAATCTTCAGCAAATCACATCACTTCATTTCAACTTTTCTGCATCATGGTTGCCTCCAGTGTGTATGTTAGTTTTTGCCTGAGTATCTGATACTGGCTACAGCAAATAACATATTCCAACAATAAAAATAGATGTGTTAGGATAGTGTTGTTTTTAATGTATTATGTCTGAGACAGCATCAGCAAAATACAATAAATGATTAAATACATATAATGGCAGGGGGGATTGACTCTCCACCTGGGGAAAGTAGGCAGCAAATTGCAGTTTGTGCTCTGAACCTGAGAGCACTGGAGGAAGGGAAATTCATTCCCAGCCCAAGCACCACATGGAAAAGCTTTTCCTAATGCTTCAGGTGAAGACTGGATGTTAGTGGGCATGATGACGCCCACTCATGTCACCTAACTTCAGAACTGCAAGAAGGCACCTCATAAAGTGCCCCACCTTGTTCTATAATTAATATGCAGTACCAGTAAAGTCCATGGCAATGTAAGCATGCTATGCTACATTTCTAAGGAGTGTTATTTTGCTATAGCAATTGATGTGACCAGCTTCGTTGAACAGCATCAGCGTCAAAACCATGAATGGTCATGAACAACCAAATTATTTGCTGCCATTATCAGAATAGGTTTGAAAGCGAATAGCTGTGTGTGCTGGACATCTCTTCTAAATGGGTGAGCAATGTGTCACTACTAAAAATAGCATTCTGAATAAAGGAAGCACATGAGATATGAGTCATGGCTTTTAATTCATCAGGACTGCTGCTGCATCAATACACACAGAGGAGTTGTGACCTTCATTGTTGTTGTAGCCAATGGCTATTGTTTTCTTATATAAAGAATGGATAGCTCCCCACATTACAGCTCTTTTCACAGGTTTATTTATGCATTGATCATGGATATGTTTCACAGCCAATGCTGTGTGTTTCTAGGGAATAAAATGAAGGCTAGTAAAAGCTTTGGAAGAGTTTGCTTGTAATTTCAAACAGCTGCTACCTCAGACAGAGGAAGATGGGAAATGATTCTTGTTTGGTTA